AAGGTGTCTGAAGACTGCTAGGAAATTGGTAATTCTTGATGTATTTGAGCATTTTGCCATCACCCATGTTTTATTTAAACACTTTTGCTGCTGAAAATCTGGTGACAAGATCGCTCTGAGAGAGGGTCTGGGTACATATAAGTGGTCCTTTGATAAGAGTATTGCTCCAGTAGAGATAATGGGATCTTTGCTGTTGGAAGCAGGAGTGGACCCTTTGTTTACAAATCACTATGCAAATCCATGGGTAGGATTTATTTTCATTGGAAAATATGGAACAGTAATGGCCAGGCTGTGACTATCTTTGATTTAGGACAATGACAGCAAGAGACTGAAAGTACCTTGCATATTTTTCACAGGCTCCAGCTTCAACCATCATCCTTATATTTGATTGCAACTGTTTTCTAGGGGTAGGCAACCTTAAAAGATTGGGGCCAAGGCCTTTCCTCAGATTTTGGTTGTCCATAGTTGGTGTCCTAGCGTCGCTTCCCAAATCCCCAGTCCAAGCCAATGCCATGCTACAACTACATGTCAGGATGACACCGAAGCGCACATCTTTCCCTTCTTTCACCCTTGTTGGCAGTGGAAACCTGAGCGTATGAACTGGGAGATCACTGCAAGGTATTCATTTGGTCCCCTGAACTGGAGAATGGATGGAGTAGGGTGTAAGTCCATCACAGAGCACGCCTGCCCTACAACACAGGCATAATTACCCTGGTGCGTCTGAAGAGGGACTCTAAAGGGATCCATATCATTCTCCCTGAGCAGAAGAGAGGTAGGGACAAGGGTCTGCGTCTTAAAATCATAGCCTCACACTGAAATGTTTAAAGCCAATCATAAAGGTATTAATTGCATCATCAAATTTTATAACCGTTCCTAAGACCTTTATCCTCTCTGACAACTAATGAGAGAGTGCATGCTGTCTGGGGCCATGATTAGCTCACAAAAAGGAGAGATTAGAGTATTAGCCATTACTGAGCAGATGGATCATTACACAGGATCTTAAGCCAAGAAATAAATATTCTAAGTAAGTCACATTTGGAAGATACAAAATATTTAAATAAAGCTTTAAATACCTGGGGAGATTAACAAGGATCTAACTTTATGGTGTGACAACATACATACCAGATGATGGAATGAAGAATGTGTAAGGCTTTCACATCTTTCCTCGGTTTAACGAAGCTCACTCGACCACAATGAGTATTTCTAGTCAAGAGACTATGGGCCACAGGAATCCTGTGCATGAATATCCAACGTAGGAGACTGCAGTCAGGTGACTCATCTACCCGTTGCTGGTGATCTAGTATTATTCATACTGTGTTTTCTATATTTATTGGTGCAGCAGTTGTTGGTATTTTTAGGAATACAGAAATGATGAGTACTGTGGGGTTTTGTTTTGCTTGCTTTTTTAAGTTTGGATACAAAAGAGCTGGAAATGTTGATCAAGCAATTTACAGAGGTGGAAAAATGACACGCTTAGCTAGAATAACTGGCTCTTTACTTCACTAGGAAATTATAAGTATTTAAATCTACATTTTTATGAAAATGCCAACTAAAAATCATTATGTTGTCTGTGTATCAAACTACTCCATAGTTTGATATTTGGCTGGTTTTACAGGTTTCAGTTAGTTTGTTGGTCCCAGAACAGCTTTTTGAATTGGTTTACACTTTGACATTATATTGAAGGCAGTGCTACTAGCCTAGGAATAAATGCTTAGAGTCTCCAAAGAAACGCATTTCACTCACGTTCTTTGTTACAAGTAAGACACTTCACCGTTTGGAACAAGAATGAATGCAGAGCCATTTAGAGAGAGGGCTGAATTGAGGAGAACTATAATCTCTCCCAGTAGGTGGTTGGATATGACGAAAAGGAGTTTCTTGCCTCCGAAAAAAATCTTAAAATGACTCTAAGTATGGTATTATTAAGGTGTGTCATTTGTGTACCACTCCATTGATTTCTGTACCTAATGTTTGCAACTTCTTCTTCCCTGCAAACTCTGCCTGGAAGTGGATAAAGTCTCCATCTGCTTGTAATGTTTTCTAGACTGTCTACACCCCCACTGATACCTGTGCAAACTCATGACTACTAAACTGTATCACAAGGGGTGAAATAACTTAACGCCAAGCCCACACCAACTAAATTAGACAATATTCCTGTGCCTGGCTGAGTCAGAGAGCAAAGAATTCTGAAAATCCTGGGGCAGGAGCCGCAGGCATAACGCCACAGATTATAGTCAGAACTATGGATGTGGGGACCACCTTTCCTAGCGTCGTGTATACATGAGCAGAAAAACAGATTGTGGCATACAAATGGCATGCAAGTCTCATGTTGTGAGACTCCAGTGCTACAAGTTCAGTCTGCGGATTTTTTCTTCTTTCACTGATCTTGTCTGTTTCGTTTTCTCGTTTCTGGCTTTCATTGTGCCTTTTTCCAAACATAGGTCCCGGTTGCTGTTTCGCCTGTTTTCCTTCTGCTTTCTGTAGTGGTCTTTTCTTGTAGTCTTCTGCAGGTCTGTTGTGAAACATACACAGCGCCCTTCTTTTCCGCCAGCAGTTCTTCTTTCCCACCTGTCTTGACTGTTATCCATTAGTCACGTGCAAATTGCTCAGGTGTATCACTTTTTTATTTTTCCAGAAATAGCCAGGTTTCTCATATTCAATAGTGGTGTTTTGGTGTATCAAATAGAAATCACATAGTTTTAGGTGTAACTTCTGAAGGCTTCTAACCAGGTAATGCCCACACAGATATAGCTGATATTGCTTACATGATGAAAATTTATTTGTATACTATGAACTTTGCTACACTTTAAACATTATGTGTAACATTTATCATGGGCGCTCAACATAAAAGTAACAGAAAAGATTAAATAAATAATGCTGAAATTGTCTCATCATTCTACATCTGAAAGTAATGCAAAAAGCTAGTGGCACTTTAATAGCTGGGCTAAGGCTCTTAATCCTCGATAGAGGTCTTGCTGTGATTGTTTTTCTAGCACTGGCCTAGTTGTACGTGCTTTGGAGAAATCCTGGGGCTAAAGCACTCTTCATATTAGTCTGAAGGTATCTCTTGCTGGTGATTTAAGATTTTAAATAGAAAACAAAAGTTAAAAATGTCAAGACTGGGCAACAGAGCTACTACAAGCTGCTGCTGGGCTGACACGCGTAGAGGAAAATCCCATCAGGTTAAAAATAGAAACTCGTTCCACCCATGGATTAACTTTGTATCTAATCCACTCATGTTCTGCCACATGGCACACTACATACACACACAAACTGTGTGAGGATGAGGACAGAGGTATGAATTTACATTAGACGGTACATCCTTCCCATCCATTTTTATAGTTCTGAACTGAAACAAATCTGGAAGAAATGCGCAAATGCCTTTCAAGCACATAATACCAGTCAGTTATCTGCACACTAATGTTTATGGAGATACGAATCCATCAGACTAAAAATGGTCCGTGGTTCAGACCGTTCACCACGCAGTGATCACTGCGGGTCAGTTAATTCACTCTACGGAATTCTCTCTGTTGACTTCAGTACTCAGCGTATTATGCTGAACAACTTGTAAAATCTACACCTATTCAGTGCTATGGATTTACATACCTGGTTTGTCTCTAAAATTACTTACATATCTGTCATTCATGAGAGACAAGCTCATTCTTTTGGGAGTCTTCTGAAACGTGCTTCTCACCATATATGTACTTTCAGTATTGAAACTTAATTGAAAATTGTAAAACTTGCAATAAATTTTAAGATGTTTGATTACACGGACCTGTTGGAGCGGGTCCAGAAGAGGGCCATGGAAATGATCAGGGGGATGGAACACCTCTCCTATGAAGGAAGGCTGAGAGAGTTGGGGTTGTTCAGCCTAGAGAAGAGAAGGCTCTGGGGAGACCTTATTGCAGCCTATCAGGACTTAAAGGGGGCTTATAAAAAAGATGGCGGCAAACTTTTGAGCAGGGCCTGTTGCAACAGGACAAGGGGGAATGGCTTTAAACTAAAGGGGGGTAGGTTGAGACTAGATATAAGGAAGAAATTTTTTACGCTGAGGGTGGTGAGACACTGGCACAGGTTGCCCAGAGAGGTGGTGGATGCCCCATCCCTGGAAACATTCAGGGTCAGGCTGGACGGGGCTCTGAGCAACCTGATCTAGTTGAAGATGTCCCTGCCCACGGCAGGGGGGGTGGACTAGATGAACTTTAGAGGTCCCTTCCAACCCAAACTATTCTATGAGTCTATGATTAGATCAACAGGGGACAGATTCTTCAGAGGCATTATCCATTGAGTAAGATTAAGGCAAATGCAACATTTAGCACTCCTGTGCAAACAGCAACCCAGTCTTGCTCTTCTAAGCAAACTGTAGCTGAAATCTAATCACTAGTATTGTATTTAAGATGAAGTTGCCTTCTAGCAATTTTGCTGTTACAGCTTTATTATGGTTAAAGAGATAAAGAGTTACTTGAAGCTACTACTGTGGTTTGTTTGTTGTTTTTTAATTACCACTACCCATAGACGCGCACTTTGGCATTGGCCACATGCAGCTGGGGGAGAGAGAAAGGGATATGTAAAAAAGTGGCCGTCGATAGCATTTGCCTTTCCTCCTTCCAGCACAGCCAGACCATAAATGGATCATTAGCGAAAGAGCGAATAGCCTGAAGCTATTGTAGAAAACATTTGTCTGTAGCATCCCTGGAAGCAAGGGGGTCAACCAAACATCGGGGATTGTACGTCTGCCTGCTGTTGTCTTGGGCAGCTTCTAGGTGAGAGCTTTAAGATGGGAAGAGATGCAGAACTATGTGCTGTCCACGGATTCTTCTTTGCCAGGGGTTTGCCAGTAAAGACCACTTTAAACCTACAGTGATTTGTGCCAGATAGGGTGACTTTAAAGTTTTGCAGTGCTTGTGAGAGTTCAGACTCCAGCCTAAATTAGACTCAGCATTTCATAAAATACAATAGCTAACGAGCACCCTGAAAACATAAAATTCAAATCTGTTTTCTCCTTTTCCTTGTAGAATTTTGCAAGAGTGTTGCATCATTGCTCTTATCCTCCGTATGGTTTATTTAAAAGAGACAGTGTATCTAATCATTTGCTTAATGGAAAATGTACATACAAAAGCTAAAAGTGATTACATACAACAGCTAAAAGTGATGACATTGACATTGCAAACAAATGTAAGATACAAGAGGTCTGGTAAGCTAAATATTAGCTTTACAATTAGACAGTTGTTAACTTCATTTTAATTATGTTGTTAATGAAACCATAGAATTCATATAAATATAAAGGCAAGTTCCACTATTCCTTTTCAAAAATCATCTAGAACTGGGTAAATGAAGTTGTCTTTGAACAAGCAGTATGACAAAATCTGTCCTCCACAAATCATTGAAATTACTCCAGATCCTGAAAGAAAATATATGACTGTTTTATATTAATTTTTATAGTGGAATATAAATGTTATGATAAAACTACTTTAAACAGACATTCTTTTTATCTTAATTTTTTTTAAAAATGGCCTGCCTACTTAAACATTTTGCCCAAGGCTTTAGGCACCTACAAAGATATCAGCCTCAGCAGCTGCTGATGCAAAACCAGTCACAGGACAGGGAATTTATTTGCCTGTCCCCATCCTTTAGGAATTTACTGCAGCTGTCGATCCTTATTATCCATCATACAAGAAAGAAGAACAGAAGCCAGTCCTTTTCCCTTAACTATTTTTCAAGATAGTATATTCTAGTACAAAGCTACACTTTTAATTTTACAGAAAATTTAAGATTCAGAAATGTAGGTTTGCCATTCACTCTTAACAAAATGTGATGACTGGGTTTTGTCTCATCTATCATAAGCACCTGTGCATCGTGTTTATAAAAATTGCCTCTCAAGGTGCCTGTCTCTTGCCATTGATTATAAAGGGTACCAAGGAAGACTAGTTTGGACAACTGTCTTTTTGACACCTGAATTAAGTGAAATAGTTTGATTAGTCGGGACTTAATCATGGTTTATTTCAAGAACATGAGCGTATCTGCTATTTGTTAGCAAGATTAACACAAGCTGAGTACATTCTGGTACTAACATTCAAGCAAATGTTAGCCCAGCGTTACTTACCTGTGTCATTAAAAGAAGTATAAATGAAAAGCATGTATTTCTTCTTTAAATGTTGACAATTCTCAAATTAGTGAGACAACAGACATTTAATAGAAACAAGTAATACTGTAAATACTAATTTTCTACACGGATTCTAACGATTTAAACTTTAAAGAATGTAATTATACCTAATGCCAGCCACCAGTGTAACATCAGGGGGAATTCAGACATAACTGCAAGGAGAAGAAAAGGAGAAATGTAAATTTTTAAACAAAAAGGATGGGGACACGCAAACATTACATTATGTTATCAAAGGTCTGCTTAGTTATGTTTCATAAATTATATACTTTACGTTTATTGAAATTGCAAATGCCTATTTAGGTCCTGATCGTTCAGATACTTGGCCATACCATTAAGCTTAGCCTGGTGAGCGATCCCACTGGAAGGCAAGTCTTAAACCTAATAAGTGTGTGCTAAACGGAGCTCTTACACTCTCTGCAGAAGAAATGCCTGTTTTATTACTTACCTGTACACAGTTTAGTACAACAGAGACACCGATCCCCTGCTAGAATGCCTACATATTGCTGCAATGCAAATAAATTAAGCTGCCTGACATTTTCAGTTTAATGGGTGATGCAGTGCATGAAAGACAGGCTGGGTGTGCGCACTGCAAGCTAGCGCTATTGCACAGCGTGCTCTCTGCTGTGTCAGGCGCTTGCCCTTGCCTCACGCAAGCTGACCCACATCCCCACTGTATGATCAACTGCAGGGCCATTATATGACCCAATATTGCCCCCCCAAAAAAAAGCTGTCAGGGCTGTAAGGGTAGTAAAGTGAGCTGGGAGGCACACTGCATATGCTGGCAGCTCAGAGTCAGCCAGCAGAGCTTTGGTTGGCTATCTGACAGAAACAATAACAAATATGGGGTTGTTTGGACATCAAAATGCATCATCTAATATATTGATAGAAGATACCTTCCTGTATAAATTATATACAAAGCAGGTTTTGTTGTAGTTTTTGTAAATTCCTTGATTTAAATACAGAAGTTATTCACAAGGAATAACAGTAGTTTAAATTCCAGGAAATCAAATTCAGTAGATGAGAAATTATGCTTAATTTTTTAAGATGAAGTCTCTGTTGGTGTCTGGCTGAACTTGTCATGGTAACTGGGGAATCCCCGTCTGTATAAAGTGCTAAAAGACAAATGGACAAAGCATTGGAAAATGGAAGATGAATTATTATGTAGTAGGGAGGGAGTCCTAATTTGTCAGTGACATTTTTCCTATTTCTAAATTCTAGCATAAAAATACTAAGCTCATTGTTATAGGAGAAAAGAATCCCCAAATGGGCTCTGGCAAGCATGGGGTTAAAATATATTTCCTAATCAGCCATAGCAGCATTCTGCTAAACAGCATGAGAAGAGGGAGCAGGTTACCAGGGACTGGCAAAAAGTGATGATGAGTCTCATTTACAGCAGCCAATTCTTTTCCTTTTCTTCCCTTTGAGGGGAAGAGTTTCAGGAAAAAAAAGATTCTTCTGTGGTAAAATTCTTTATTTTTCTTAATGAGATTTAGCTCAAATGATCTAACTTTAAAACTTTGAATTGGCTTTGCTGAAGCAAGCCTCATTTTTACTCTGAACTAGAGCTGAAGTGTTAATAAGTAGATCTTAAAGTGTCAGGACATGGACAACTATTAATTTCTTGTTTTAGAGAAAAACACGCCTCCCAGATGCTGAAATTGCATCTAAGATGGGTTTGTTCGATATGAACTGTTAGATTACAAACTAAAACTCGGAATTTTTAGTAAGAAAATAGTGTTTTAAAGTTCTGCAACAAAACCAGAATTTAGTTTTAAATGGCAAGATTTAAATACACGCATGAGTCAAATGGGTAGAAAAAAAAGATATATATTTATTTAGCTTAAGGAAAAATGATTACGTTAGTCCAGTAATACAGTAGATGAATCATAGTTGATTGGTCCTTCAATTTGTGATACTATGCATATATTTAGCCGTAAACTGACTTACCGACTGAAGTTATGATGATATGAATAATAGTAACTGTTACAGCGTAATCCCAAACCCATTCTTCCACAACCAGGGCAAACAGCAGACCACAAATGAAGAAGGTTATTTCCAACGATATCACAAGAACTGTAAATGAAAATAATGTATTTCAAGCACAGTTTTGAAAGGCTTTTTCCTATATTCAAAATGATAGCAATAGGAAGTTAAAATGTCTGAGATAGTTATGCAAATTATTTTTTACAGGACTGAATATTACACTAATGTTTTCATTATAAAGTTCATTTCTAATTTTGCAAAACACGAGGATTAACAGGATTATGACCAGCGACAGGATTATGACCAGTTTATATAGCCTAGTGGAGAAATGGCGTGGAAATTTTACTTAGGGACCATCCACACTCTTTGCATATGGCACCAAATAGATTTGGTTGATACTGACATTGATCAGATTTTTTCTCATCCAAAACAGAATTGTGTGGTTAACAGGTTATGTTTGGAAAGAAACTTCATAGCTTTCTCCCTGTTGACTTCACTGCATCATATATATATATATGAAATATACCAGAATATATATATATATATATCAGAACAATTTAAAGGCAAGACATGCAAGGGGAGATAGAGCAGAGAGCCTACAAGGTGAGCAGAGGCCACCCGTCCGCATGGGTCTCATGGTACATACAACCAGGAGCCTGGCTTTCCTCAGTGCCGATAGCAAGGCTGACACAGCTGCCATGCACTCGCCATGCCCGACATTCAGCAGCCAGCTCTGTGTTGTGTTAAACCATGAACGGGGATTACCAGCAAAGCGATAACAGCTAAACTATGCTGCCAAAAGAGACTATTAAAGTTATCTGATCAAGAAAATTCCTTCTCTTGGTGATGAAGTGGTGCTTTCTCTGGAGCGTGCCCAGCCATGCCCTGCCACCAGCCTGTGCTGACCACCTCCCCTGACGCGGGGCACAGCTCTGCAAAAGCAATGGCACGGGCAAGCCGTGCCTCCCCCGTGGGCAGGAAAACAGTCTGGAAGGCACGGAGCAGCTACGCTGGGAAGGTTGAGGAACCTCACCTGGTATTCGATGAGCTGTATTCTTCATCTCTGGAGCGTGCCCAGCCATGCCCTGCCACCAGCCTGTGCTGACCACCTCCCCTGACGCGGGGCACAGCTCTGCAAAAGCAATGGCACGGGCAAGCCGTGCCTCCCCCGTGGGCAGGAAAACAGTCTGGAAGGCACGGAGCAGCTACGCTGGGAAGGTTGAGGAACCTCACCTGGTATTCGATGAGCTGTATCCTTCGACACAGCAATGAGGTGGTGCTTAGCTTTCAGCTTGTTCACTTGCTACGACGTGTAATGGGATCAAAAATAATCACCTTTAGGGTGAAGTTTGACTTTATGCTCGGTGGCTACCTGGGATAGCAGGGGGCTGAATGGAAAACGCGTGACGTCTCTTCTAGCTGTAGTCCTGAATTCCCATACCACAAGCCATAATTGTGCAATTGTAATTCATATAATTTTCCATCTAAATGCATTTTATTCTTCTTTTTAAGTACACAGGCATACAAAAGTCACGTTTTTAATGGAATTATTTATTTTTTTACTATTGCAGTAATGTAATACCTAAGATTACTGAGAGTAGAGAGACCATCGTTTTCTTTCACCGTATTTAATTTATACATTTGGCAGCATCTTGTGCCTTTCAATTTTATTCTTTTCTTTATAGGGTCAATTCGTTCCTACTGTAATATGGATCTTTCACCCAGCAGTTTAAAAAATGTAAAAAAATAAGAAGAAGATAACCGGAAAAAAACATGTAGTTAGGAAACTAGGAAATAACACTTAAAAAAATTTAATGTTTGAAAATGCATTTTAGGTTTTTTAGTTTATTATAGTTCATGATGCTAGTATCCCTTTAAATTTTGCCAATAATTTTGTAATTTAGAAAGTATGCTTAGTGTAGACAGAAGCTCTGCAAACTTTTTTACGAAACTGGGCCAGTAATGATACCTCAGTTCTGAGCTACTTCCATTTATATTTTGAGGTTATCTTTTAAAGACATAATTCTGTTTTTAACAGGCATGAGTGAGACCCTTTAGTAAACTAATTTTCATTTGCAACATCATTCAGAGAGCTTCATTCTGTTTCTGTGCCCACAGACTTTAAACAGATCCTGTTGTGTTTTGCTATTTCATCCATGTTATTTCATCCCGTGGACAGAAAGGGGGATGGAATACTAACCGGTTGCATGATATAGTTGCTGTCTTTGGCATATAAACATACTGCATCAAACTAGCTAATAAAATTTTCAGGGAAAAAAAATCATATTGAGATACAGTAATTACATTAGGGCCCTGAAAAGTAATTCTAATGGAATATGATTTAATTTTATTTTCCATTGCTACAACAGAAATGCTCTTTTTTCATCTGAAATCATTATTGACACTGTACAAATATCCATGAATTTTTATTACTCTTTTTAACCTGATGAACTAAACAATTTATTTTGAGCTTTACTTACTTTACTGACAGATGATGTGGTTTGCCTTTGTAAAATGGATTACAAATCAGGTAAAATGCATGTATGCATGTAATTTTTTAGGAATGACAGTTTAGGAAAGAGAATATATTTTGAAAGCTTCAGACAAAATTGCAGAAATTTGTTTTAGGATATATAAAGATATGTTTAGGGATTGAGCCATAATCACGCTGAAATTTTGATGCCCACTGTATTCAGGCATTACCAAAGCAAGATTTCCATTAGTTGAATGTGACCTGTTATTCAGCTCTGGATCCGATATGGTTCATAAGAAATTCACTGCAGTATGAAGAATAAATTTAACAACTTTGCGGAGGAACTTTACAGAGAATAGGTAATTGTTCTGCAATGAAAATGAAGCATCCTGCCAAAGCAGCACGTTTTCTTCAGACGATGCAAGATCAGAAGAACAACTTGAGGAAAAGCCTCACAATCACTCAAATGATGAGTAGCAATACAGAAATGAGAAGTGCAGCGAAGATGAATAAGCATTTAAATGCAGTGTAGTTAAAATACAGAAACCGTTAGTATTACTAAAACAGCTTTAAAATACTGTCCATAAGGAACACAAGTTTACATCCAGATATAATCTATTTTCTTGGCTGGGAAAAAAAAGAGAAACAAAATTCAGTTACCTAAATAATATGGGTTAATCCATGAGGGATTTGTCTTAAAATCAAAAGGTGCCAAACCATCCAACATTTTAATCCTGTGGAAATAGAATGAACAAGTATAACCAGAGATTTTCAATAAAGCCTTAGTGATTATATGACATATTATGGGTGCTTTTAAATACAATTTCAAATGGAATACTCTGGGTTTTTAGAAGCTCTCTACGTTCCATTGCATGTTGTGGTCTTGCCCTTGCACACAGAGTCCACGATCTCCGCTTGTATTTAAGACACGTCTGGTACTACGCATGCTAATCAATAACTTCCTAAGGGAATATAATTTGTCTTTTTTATCGATTGTAAAAATCTTTCTTTTCCTTTTTTCATGTCATCTTTTCTCTTACGTTCGCTTATTTGCATGGTGCAAGTGCAAGGAAGTAGATTAGAACCAGCATCGTATGTTAGTTTTGAGTCTCCATTTGCCAATTTGTGCACTTGAACAAAGGTTCAGGTACAACAACTCAACTGAATTTGAAAAATGTGTTCACAGAATAACTGGGACTGGATGCCTCCAGTCTGGATGCCTCCTCTACAGAGTCATAGCTCTACCCGTTATATCCAGTTGTCGTATGCCATCATATTAGGCTAAAGACAAGGAAATCTTACTTGAATACTGCGAAGCACACAGATAGGACCACATAGTACACAGTGTAGAAAACTACCATGCATATCAACAGGTTCACCAGAACAACCTGCAAAAGGGAAAAAGACAGTAAAACCTAATGCCATGTTTACATTAGGTACATAATTGTCAGAAAATAATTCCAGATTACTATCAATCATAATGTGGAACCCCCACACACATTTAGAAAATAAAATATTTAGACAGAATTTTTGCTGTTGCCAATTACATCAAAGTTGTTAAAAGCTCTTTGGTACATTTCGGCTCCTAATGTGTGGTCACAGTGTACGGTTCTTTGGTTTTTATTTTACTGTATACCAACTGCTTATTGAATTTATAAGTGTTCAGAGACTGAGAAGCACATTTCTTGATACTTATTACACAGGAGGCCTTGAGAGTTTAAGATCATCCAGATGCTTAACTAAGCCTCATTTTTAACTTAAAAGAAATGCCATCCTTGTAAGTATGTTGAAACTGTGTACAAATAAAAATGTACAAAATTGCAAAGCAGTAACTGTTATGTTTCCCAGCCTCTAGAAAACATCACCCTAGTGCTTACTTCCAAAGGTAAGGATGTAGACAACTTAAATGAGTAACGAGGGATATCTGTTACATATTTTTCAAAGTTCAATTTTTGTGAATTAATTCTAAATAAATTCCAAATTGAAAAAATACCCCTAAAAAATGCAAGCTTCATAAAGCAACCACTGTCTTATGATCAAATACTGTGTCTTTAAAAAAAAAGAGAAACGCTATCTAGAGAATGATACAAAAAATTTATATTTCCTAAGATACCTTGTTATCATTATTTCTTTCATTCCATTTCAGCGTCTTCATTTCTAAACTGAAGTTTCATAAACAATGCAGCCAGAGAAAAACCTGTGAGCCTTCACCTGATAAAGTTCATAAAATGCCTTGAGATCCTTTCAGGTGAAGCATAATTCACATATCTCTGATCATCTAAGTTGGCTTCCTGAATTATGCAGACCCTAGGACTTGTATTAATTCCTACAGGTATAATGTAAAATTATGTTTTGAAGGTTAATATGTTTTGGTAATAATAATAGAGTCTTGCTAATGCAGAACACTTTAATTTCTGTTTTTCTGTGATGATATAATGACATTCCAGATGCTTATTTGGGTTTTTATTTTTTTAAAGGGAAACACGGGACATCAGGACTAGGGATCTCTACGCATCAAATTTGAGCAACTGCTTTGGCAATATTGTGTGCTTGCTTAAGAACAGGAAACTGAAGATGTTTGCTACAGTCTGGTAGAGTGATGAGTAAAATCAGTTTTTCTTTTCTACAGACTCCAGATTGTCTTGTATTTTCTCACTCTATCTAATGCTTTATCACGTCATATTTCTCCTCCTCTTTCTTGACTTCTTTGTATCTTTCCTCTTTCATTGACCATTTTTTTAACTCCTGACTCTTTCTTTATTGTTTCATTTTCTTCTCTGCCTATCCCCTCCATCCTGCATCTTCTACTCTTTACTTTCCTCCAAAAAATTATGGATAGAAAGCAGTCATGAGAGAGACAGTGACTGTAGAGGGAATTGCTACCAGTTTCATATTGTCCAGCTTTAATATTGTGCTACATGATGCTTTACAATGGAAGGATGTGTGGCTACATTTTGCTTTTTGATATTAAAGCATCCCAGTTTCAGTTTCTGTTTTAGGAGTAGACTATTGTATAAATTCTTAGCCCAGGTACAAAACACATAATGAGTTAAGAATTTTCTTGCCCTTCCTCCAGTTTGGCTATCAAGTATTTGAAACTAGTATAATGTGTGTTTACCTGACTCCTCTGGTAAGACCTCCATAGATCTCCAAACTGATAATGTTTCTCATGCAATAATGATCTAAGGGTAACATCATTACTGTAGTGATTCCATTATTAAGTAAATACACTTGGACATGTAAATGTGGGCCCTAAGCCTGCACATTTTTGTGTGCCCTGCAAGATCCCATGCTGAATTTCCCCGATCAATGGAACTGAGCTGACAGCAAGTGAGTTTGAATGTTTTGATGTTTTACAGGACTTCCTGCTGATCAAAAATAAATTTAAAATGGAGAAATGAAGAGTAAGATGATGAAATATTCCAAATCCAGTTGGCAGCCGGTCACGAGCGGTGTTCCCCAGGGCTCAGTTTTGGGGCCGGTCTTGTTCAATATCTTTATCAATGATCTGG